ACTTGTGAGGTGCAGAAATCAGCCTCTCCACAGAAACTGAGAAAGCTTCCCTTTTTTCTTTCTAATACAAAGAAGCATGGTTCTGGTCCTCAAGGATGCAAAGAAGGGGGGGGCTGGCATGTTATCAGTGGGCTGGACCCTATCAATTTTCTTTTTGCTGGTGCCAACGAGAGGACGGGCCCCTTCCGACCCATAAGAACATCAGAAGAGCCCTGCTGGATCAGACCAGGGAGGGTCTCTCTAGTCCAGCCTCCTGCCTCACCCAGGGGCCAGCCAGTTCCTCTGGATGACCAACAGCAGGGCAGAGAGGCCGAGGCCTTCCCCTGAGAAGGACACCAGAAGAGCCCTGCTGGGTCAGACCAGGGAGGGTCCATCTAATCCAGCCTCCCGTCCCACACAGGGGCCAGCCAGTTCCTCTAGAGGGCCAGCAACAGGGCAGGGAGGCCGAGGACTACTCTGATGTTGCTGCCTGGCAATGATATTTACAGGCTGACTGCCTCTGAATGTGGAAGTTCGCTTCAGTCACCATGGCTAGTAGTCGCTGATGGGCCTGTCCTCCATGAATCCGTCCAGTGCCCCTTCGAAGCCCTGATCTGAATGGGCCAGGTTAGCCTCATCTTGTCAGATCTCAGAATCTAAGCAGGGCTGGCCCTGGTCAATATTTGGTATTCCAAGGAATACCAGGGCCACGAAGCAGAGGCAGACGATGAGAAACCGCCTCTGAATGTCTCTTGGCTCGAAAACCCTGTGGGGTCGCCATGAGACGGCTGCGTCTTGATGCTACTTCCCACCCCCAGAACCTGTGGCCATCACTACATCCCTTGGCAGCAGGACACACAGAGACAAAAAAAACCCCAAAACCCTGGGACTTGTAGTGTGCTCACCCATTTCCAGAGAGTTCTCTGATTGGTCTGCTTCCACCTGGTGCTCTTCCGTGATTGGTTCCTGGCCTGCCTCCTCTCCCTCCTCCTCTTCTTCTCCCTCCTCTTCCTCTCCCTTCGCCATCTCTTCCTCCAGCACTAGATGGTGGTGGGACTCCAGCGAGGTCACTGTTTGGTGTCGGGCGGCGGACGCCCCAGGGGAGGTGCCTTCCGCAGGCGGGGGCGTTAAGGCGTCGGGTCGCGGGAGCTCCTCCGAGGAAGTATCTGGAAGGAAATTTCTAGTCCTCATGGACACGTCCATAACTTTTTTTCTTTTTTTGGTCTTCTAAAATAGTTTTGAGGCTGCCCCCGTCACCACCCCAATTCTGTACTTTCGTGCAGCAGACTTTTGTTGTTGTTGTTGCAGGCAAAAGGCAAATGCCATTTTGGGCTGTATCAACAGGAGTTGAGTGTCCAGATCACACAAAGCGATGGTACCGCTTTACCTTGCTCTGGTTAGACCTCACCTAGAGTATTGTGTTCAGTTTTGGGCACCACAATTTAAGAAGGATATAGACAAGCTGGAACGTGTCCAGAGGAGGGCAACGAAGATGGTGAGGGGTCTGGAGACCAAGTCCTGTGAGGAAAGGTTGAAGGAGCTGGGTCTGTTTAGCCTGGAGAGGA